CTCTCTCTCTCTCTCTCTCTCTCTCTCTCTCTCTCTCTCTCTCTCTTTCTCTCTCTCTCTCTCTCTCTCTCTCTTTCTCTTTGTCTATTCCTCTGCAGGCTTCCTGTCGCTGTCCCTCGCAGACCAGATGTCCGTGCTGCAGTCCGTGTGGCTGGAGGTGCTGGTGCTGGGTGTGGCGTACCGCTCGCTCGGCTGCGAGGACGAGGTGGTGTTCGCAGAGGATTTTGTCCTTGATGAGGAGATGTCACGTGTCGCTGGACTGACGGAGCTAAACGCCGCTATCAGTCAACTTGCTCGCCGCTTCCGGGCACTAAACGTGGACCGAGAGGAATTTGTCATGCTTAAAGCCATCGCACTCACTAACTCAGGTACTTACACTTGTGTTGTTGAACAGCTGTGCAGACAAATAAGAAGCAACATTTACTTGCATCTCATAGAACTCGTATCAATCTAAGGAGTACAGAACTGTTAGTTGTGTTGTGGGTTTTCACATTATTATTGATCATATAAGGGGGTCCTGCAGCCTTTCATAGTGGAGTCACCTTGCCTGGAATTCAAAGTACCTCTGCTCACGTCAGAGGAGATTATTACATTTTTCTGAAATTTAATCGCACACTTATTAAGGCTCAGTGCTCGCCACCTCCGCTAACACATTTCTTGGGAAACCTTGCACCTGACTAAGTGGAATATTAATAACGTATATGAAAAAGTCCACTCAGTTTCCAGTTTATTAGGTACATCATTAGGCAGTTTATAGCTCGAGCTAATTGTCGTCATGAAGGTTTTATTGTTCAGGTTCAGCCGAAGCTGTTTTAGAGAGGTGTTCATTAAACTTTATGACCTGCAGTTTGTGGTGCTGCTAAATTGTATTATGTTACACAGAGAATTGTTGCTAATATTCAGAGTACCCTCATTGATGTAATCTCAGCATAATGCAGTGCAGTTCAACAGCACCACAAACCACAGCCATCAAAATGAACAATGAACCAAAAAATAGTTTAATTAGTTTTAGCTACGTGTCCAGAATAAGCCGATGACTACTGTGCACGTATACTTTCCTGTCTTGATCATAGTGGCAGCTTTAAACCTACTAATTGATTGGTGCAATACGAGTTCTTGTATTAGCGTTGTCTACAGTTGTGGGATTGTATGTCCTACCATATGTAAGTAGCTGCTTAGTCATCAGTGATCAGTCCTCATCTAACTGCTAAGTGTGTCAGTGGTAGCAATTGAAGCAGTAGATTAGCAGGAAGAGGTGAAGACAATGTATGTCGTTGAGATGTTTAGCTTGATGGGATCACGTGCATGTCAGCAGCCAAAGGCCCATGACAACATGAGAACACTCTCGCATAGCCAGTGGTAGTGCAGTGAAGGTTTTTTTAATAAAAAATAAGAAAGTCTTTAGCCTTTAGCAGGCAGATGTGCCAAAGCAGAAACACACAGGATAGAGCAGACATGTGTGCAATAGTTGTTGTAAGGTCACTAGTTCCACCTTTATGTCGTCTTCCCTGATAGATTGACTCAAGATTACTGTCAACAGAAGATCCTGTAGCATGTCCTGCTTGCACTACACATGCACTATTTGTGTTGTAAATAAAAGGCTCCCATTAGTTTGTATTTGTGGTAAGTCACTGGGCAACACACTCTTTCTTTCTGTGGCAAAAGCTATGTAAACGCCCTACTCAATGCCTTACCGTGTGCTCCCTGCTGTTCTGTTAGACTCTGTTTACATCGAGGACACGGAGGCTGTGCAGAAGCTGCGGGACCTCCTCCACCAGGCCCTGCTTGAGCTGGAATGTCAGCGGCGCCCGGACGAGTCCCAGCGGGCAGGACGCCTCCTTTTAACATTGCCTCTCCTCCGACAGACTGCTGGTCGTGCTCTTACCACCTTCTACAGCATCAAGACCCGCGGTGGCGTACCCATGCACAAACTATTCCTGGAGATGCTGGAAGCCATGATGGACTCTCCCTAGAGCGGAAAGCCAGCAGTAAACAGGAGTCAGAGAAAGACCCAATGAAGATCTAGTCTTCAAGACTGGATGACTGGTTTGTGAGAAATGAACGATTTTATTAGAGAATTCATAGTGGGGGAAATGGTCCTTTTTTTTTTCCCCTTTTTGCATAGGCTATACATGAAGAAAGGAAAATAATATGAGAAAATAAAAAAGCTCATGCATTCATGTCCCAAAGTGGGCATTGGTTATTTGCAGAAAGACTTCCGTAAAAGGCTCCAAGAGCGGCGACATTTAACACGAACGCCAGAATACTTCTCGGTTTCAAACATTTTCATGGTGAGTTCCATCACAGCATTGATGTGCAGTTGCATAACCACTGAAGAACACCATTTAGGTACCCAAGAACAGACTGACGTGTGGCTTTTGAACTTTTAAAACATACGTACCCGGGGGGGGGGAAAGACAGATTAACACGCACATGGAGTGCTTGTATTTACTATAGATTAGTGTGCCGTTGTCGGCAAATTCATAGGAATTACTTGCAATATGTTAAAAGCAATATAACGACTCGATTGTTGTCTGTCACATTTGAAATGTGGATAAAAGGGTGAGACATCTAGTTATGTGTGTGTGAGTGTGTGTGTATATCTGTAGTTCTCCACTCTCAGGACCCCAAGTGCTGATTACTGAAACTCCCGCTGGTAGCAGAGGGAGTGGTTTGGGTCTGGGATGCCAGGTGAGTAGATCTAAAACACTGGCAAGAGAAAAAAAAAAGAAGAAGGAAAAAAAACAAAACACCAGCACTTTTGGGGTTAAACATCGGAGTTGAGAACCACTGATGTACGTAGTTGGTGCAGGATTCTTTATACGCGGTGGTGCAGTTGATTTGTAGTCCAGGAGAAATGCATATGAAGACTGTGTAGAGTGCTCTACTTGGAAGGTAATATATTCAGTGTTAGACGGAAGTCCTGTTGGCACACAAACAACTGGTTTCCATGCAAGCAAGCAAGCGTGTGCGTCCGTGTGCAGCCGAAACCAATGAGCCACACTGAGATCAGGGAAGAACGCAACTCTTTGACAATAAAGCGCGAGCAACAGTAGTGGTCCGAAAATAAATGCATATGCCTCATCTGCTTTTTTTTTTTTTTTTTTATACAGTCCTCCACCACTAGATATAACCACTGTTTTTGACTTCAGCAGCTGTGCTGTTCAAAAACAATCGTCAGACCTATTTGATTCGTGGGCTACAACACTAATCCATACGATTGATAGGCCACTGGTGAGATTTCGCTGCATTTTCCGCAGTCGTGAGGAGCGTTGCATAAAAGATCTCAATCGTTTCAATGAGAGATCCCTCCTTTGTATATGTGCATCTGTTGAAATGAAACTTGCAAGTGTCCGTTATGGGCTCAGGACAACAAGAAATGCAAAATATGCAACATCTTCCATTTTTGGATGTTGAAAACCTTGTCTGAAAACATGCTGAAAGTCCCGCAGGTTTAAAAAACGTACAATAGAAATGATCATTATAGTAAGCTTCACATGCAATGCAAGGCTGCGGTATCTGATGTCAAAGTCAGATCGAATATTTAGCAGCCAAAGGGCCGTTAATCATTCAGCCATGTACAGCTCCATTCAAATAAACAGAAACATGCAATTTATAGTGGACGACGATGAAGCCAGCAAATGTGATACAAATTCCCCATTACAATTATATCTGTGCAGCTTACAGTGCTCTGGAATTTAAAGACTTGAAACTTGCTTTTTCATATATTTTCCTTTCTAGGATTCAAGGGTATTTTATTTACATTGTGATACTGTTGTGGGTTTGGTATTGAAATTAAGCTTTCCATTCAGGATAATATAAATACATTTTTTTTTTTTTTTTTTTATGTAAGCAGTTGTGTTTTTTCTGAATCTGATTGTCATTTTAGGGATCAATTTTACCTGGCTCTATAGATCTAGCGGCTTGGTGAGGCTACAGAGGGCTACCTCAGGAGGCAGAGCACGCCGGGCGGCCAAATAACTGTGGAGACAAATGTAATTCTTGATCTTTCGATTTGTCAACTTCAATTTGAGCATTGGGTTCATTGAACGTCTTTGCAGTTGTTAAAAAAAACACCCGAGATCATTTATTTCTTTGTTTTCATACGGTATATGGCTCATTATTCATGCTTTACAGCTTACATGTTCCTGTTTTCGAAGTAGAGCTGTTAACGTTTCTTCATATTGACTCGGCCATTTACACAACGGAAGCTTTTTCATCAGCGTGCAAATATGTTTTAGGTACGGTGGGTTTCGGAGAGAAGGCAGGGTCATCTGCAGTGTCACTGTTAAAATGATACGGTCATTTGTAGTTTTAATAAATATGTGCGCATTAATATAAATGAGCAATACGATAAATTACCAAACCTCACACATTTCCTTGTATAGCCACAGTGTACATGTAACAATGCCAGTTATAATGCAGAATAGCTACTAAACGTTATATTATTTAGAAGTTCAAATCAATGTTTGTATTTTGAAAGACTATTTAAATGATTAAATTCTATTTTTTACTCAATTTACTGTTGTTTGTTGACACTGCTTTGTTTTTGCGTGTGATATTGGCTGTGAATTTATGTGTGTAGATTTTCTTTTTCTTTTTTTTTTCCTTTAGATAAAACAGTTTGATGTCCTTGTCTAAACATGTCCACATAACAATCACTGTGAAAAAAGTGAGATCATCCACTGTCTGACGCAACGGGGAGTGGATTATTGTAGGTGCTTTGTGTTGTGTAATAAAAGGACACACCACCACCACATATCATTGGTCTCATCTCTCCCTGTGTATGTTGATGGATGCGTGTTTGTGTGCATTAGATGAAGACTGCTGTTGAAACTGTCAACTTCATGACTTGATGAATTTTGACCATTTGGACACACTCTGAACTGATGATGAGGGACAGTCCTTCAAAGATTGTACCCGAAACGCTGGACAGACTTCAGATACAGCTCCTGAGCATGATAAACGAATACTGGAGAATAAAAATAATCCATGGATGGTAGTATTTGATTCCATGATTGAACAGACTGCCATTGGAAACAGTTTGCCTCCATGGGTTTGTGTATTCATGTTTGCACCTCTGACTGCAGGTTGTGTCGGTTTTGTGAAACCGCATAGGAGGCTTTAACCTTTGCGGCTGCATTAACATCTCATGTAGGCTTGTTAAAGAGTGTGCTTGAGCTGAAGTATTGCAAAGGCTCAGAAGTTACTTTTTACATTAAAAACACATGATACACCTACATTCATATGACACGATGCAGTACTACACTGCTAATCTACCTAGTAAACAAAGTACCTGAAATTGGCTCCACTTTAACAAACCAATCAAAATGTGCTCTTTTACTTAGGCAGCATTTTGAATTCAGACTTTTACTCACAATGGATCATTTTTAGATGATATGATATTTCTACTTTTTATTATAAGCACTTCCACAGCTGCGCTTTTATCAATCAGTCTAACAAATACTACATTAGGCAAGTGACATCCTGGTGGCAGATGGCGCAGTAAATAAAGATTTAGCAGGCCCAGATCTGGAAGCTAGGTTAAGTCCCAGACAGACAAACTCACTGTGGGACACTAGTGTAAGTAACAGTGAGGTAAGTCACAGTGACAGACAGGCTGAGGCAAGTCTGAGACAATAAACGCAGCACAGGACATTCACGCCAGCGGCTGAAAGAGCGAGCCACAATGCTTTCAATCACGAGCACCATCATCGTACGCACCCGTGTTCTCCAGCGCGTGAAACTGCTACACACTACTGTCAAAATGCCGATTCAGGTGAGAGTCGCGAGCGTTGAACTAACGTTAGCCGTGTGCGCCACATAAGGTTTAAAGACAGAGGTGTCGTTTTATTTATTTTCGTAGAATTAACGAAACTACACTATGCGTCGCCTTCTTCCCTGTAGCTCACCATGCTAGCTGTCCCTCTGAAACCCGTCGCCATCACTATAATGAGCCAGGAGAGCTATAATTTATTTGTTTGTTGACTCTAAACCGTGTCTGTCCTCTGGGCACATTACCAGCAGCCTTTTCATCAACACCTGCTGGTGCATTGAACGTAGCATTATGCAAACTATCAATGATTAACATCTTGCTGTTGTCTGGCTGCTCCCATGCCTATTTATACATTACGGAAGTCAGTCGAAAACCGATACAGACCTGCGTAGTTAACATTAACTGGGTTAACTTGGTCTTAGTTTGTTTGTTTGTTGTATTAGGCTAGGTTTATTGGCGTCAGTAAATGTATGTAAAAGCACACGTAACGTATTGTTATTCCTGAAGTCCTTGAGGAAGTTAATTTACAGCTAGTGTGCCTGAGCTTCACAGCTGCAAATATTGTGACCTTACAAATATTGTTTAGATTAAATGCATTCAAGGGCATCGTTAGAGTGATATAAATTAATTAAATATCGTTGAAAACTGTGTGTTAAAGTGTCGCTTATTAGTCGGTCAATGTTGGTGTTAATTTGAGTTAAGGTATTCAACCATTTTAACGAAACGCATGCATCTATATTTCTGGTGATTTGTCGCCCTCTAGTGGCAACAAGTGTGCAAGTGTGCGCCTATTACGATTACAATTTCTATCCTGTTCAGATTATTTACTCCATCATTTGCTAAACCCCCATGCTCATATCTTTCATTATATTTGTATAATTTGACAATGTGGATCTACTTTCTTGCATTCATGTGTACTTAATCCCCAACAGGTTGGTGACAAGCTCCCCTCGGTGGAGGTCCAGGAGGGCGATCCAGGAAATAAGGTGGCCATGGATCAGCTCTTCAAGGGGAAGAAGGGAGTCCTCTTTGCTGTACCTGGAGCTTTTACCCCTGGTTGTTCCAAGGTTGAGACCACGCTGTCGTCTCTTGTTCGCTGTGTCTTGCTGTGCACCATCATCTTTGCAATCAGCTGACGTTGTATTTGTCTTGTTGCTTTCAGACTCACCTCCCAGGTTTTGTGCAGCAGGCTGAGGAGTTGAAGAGTAAAGGTGTGCAGGAGGTCGCTTGCATTTCTGTCAACGATGCATTTGTCATGGCTGCCTGGGGAAAGGAGCATGGGACAGAGGGCAAGGTATGGAATGTCATTTTTGGTGCATTTTGGAAATCATAATTAATGACACACAACTGAGCTGTGAGCTTACTGCTACTCTCTTCTGCAGGTTCGAATGCTGGCTGATTCTACTGGAGCTTTTACAAAGGTAAAACTAAATGTCTGGTGTATCTATATACATATACATCTGTTCTTTTTCCTGTGACTGTGTGTACTCATCTGTATTTTTCTTTTTGCCTCTTAGGCAGTTGACCTGCTACTTGACAGTGATCAGATTGTGCAGGCACTTGGGAACAAGCGATCCAAGAGGTATTGATCCTTTTGCCAATTTCAGTTTTTCAGTATCTCTTTTTTTCAATTTTTTTCCCCAATTAGTGCCAATGTAAACTCATGACGTCTCAGAAATCACTCCCTATTTACTGTTATTGTGCACAGTATTAACTGTCCACAATTGTATTTGAGTGTCTGAGTTTGGAAGTTTACATATAAAATAAATTCTGAAATGGAGCATGTGGACCAGAGGCCAATGCTAACATAACAGTATTTCTAGAATAACACTGATTTTATCATTAGTGCATTGAAGTCAGTGTCTGGCTTTTACTGGTACATTTGAAGTCCATAGCTACAAATCCTTGTGTACTTGATCCTGTGTTTCAGATATGCTATGCTGGTGGAAGATGGCGTTGTGAAGAAGATCAATGTGGAGCCTGATGGCACTGGACTGACCTGCAGCCTGGCTTCCAATGTTCTGTCTGTGCTGTAGGCTTATTTAGAGCTCATTAAACCACAACTGCAAACACAGAATCACTGTAAAAGTTGCATTAACAAAGTCCAGTACCACCCTGTTCAATCTTTCTCCTTTTCCCAAAGACGGATGCAAAAGTCACATGACTGTTATTAATGCGCACAACTATGACATGAATGGCAATCCAAAAGAACTGCGTTCCTCCTCTGTATACTGATACCTGTGAGCAAATAAAATTCCCCCTAAAAGCAATAATTGTGTTTTTCTTCTGTTGTTCATAGTGAAAGTTATTTGGTGTGTGTGTGTTATCAAAATGTCCCACAGCTGTGTTCTTATGATGAATGAGGACAAAATGCTACATGTGCATCCTACACACCCATGCAACATCAGATTGTTGAAGCACACTGTTATAATTATTGACAGAAATGTATGCATCACCTTCACCACAAAACAAGGACTTTGCGGTGGCATCACGTACACTGAAATCCATTTAGAAGGATAATCACCAGTGTAGCGGCGTTCTGTTTGTGTTCATTATTAAGCCGCAAATGAGCTGCAGACACAGTGACTTCATTTTCTTACGCGAATGACAGGAGATCTTTCAACTCTTTTCCTTTTATCTGTATTTTATGCAGAAAAGCGTTAAATAAATACACTAATAATATACTCTGTCACACGGTAGAAAAACTATATGCTCTTGTGCCGAATGCAGCTCTTCGGTTTTGCACCGGATGATGTCATTACATCACGAAAAAAGGGAGTGTCAATCATTAACATAAATGCTTTTCAATATGTTTTACATATCTTTAGTTCCTGCACAATGAGCATAATTCAGAAATGAAATGGTTAATAAGCCCGAAATTCCAGTTAACTAATATATACACTTCTGGCTCTTACAACCAGTCTTTGATATTATGTTTGTCGTAATTTTAAGAATTTAGACGCTTGTATTTATGTGAATGTCACTGATGTATATGGATTATTGATTTGTCTGTGGCTGGGAGAGGTATATGAAGAGTAAACCCCTTAGAAGTCTTACTTTTTTTCAATTTTCACACATCTACACAAAATTGGGGTGTGTAATGATACCATGATATAGATATAGAGCCTCATAAATGGATAAAGTAGGTTACTCACTATTAGGTAGCTGCTGTTATGATATAATACAATTTTCAAAGTTATTTTAATGACCCAATATAAGTTGTTTACCTATATCGCAGGCAACATTCATCATGATATAAGGCTGGATCGATGGTAAGCTACTTGTATATGATCAGAAGTTGCTGCCTTGTTAAGAAGTGACAAAGCACGGCTGCTCTGTTTATCCTGTAAGTCAACAATCAGGGAACCACAGTAACGTAAATACGCAAGAAACGGGCGCATTGCATTGTGGTCGCCGGTGCCTGACGGAAACAGAAACCACACGACTCTCCAGCCAACTAAGCAAATACTTAGCCAGGACGGGACAATAATTGGTAAGTTAATAATACTCCGCCACATTACACGTTGCTGTCATTAGCTGAAACATGCTGTAAACAAAACGTAGCACCATACGACGACTGTTAAGAGTTACTATAAATGGCTACTGTGCAAAGAAATTGAAGGCGCCTCAATTCTGAGCTAACTACGCTACTCTCACGCGTCACAGTGCTAACTTAACCGACAACGATTTGCTGAGGATTATCACGTTTAAAAAAAAAAAAAAAGAGACAATGCCCCCTGGTAACAAGCTGCTGTGACTCGTGGGGAAATAAACGATAACGCAGTCTGAGTCCAGTGAAGCTCGTTGTGCTACAGTTGTTAGCACTGAAATGTAGTGCGCGCTCAAATCAACGGTGGGTGTACCCTGACCCGCATTGTTGCTATACCAATGTGTGTAAACAAGTGCGTGTTTATCCAGGTTGAAAGGTGTATGTAAATACCATGCAAACATTCACATTATTTAAATATTGACCCAAATAGTAATTCATTCTGCAGCTCGCACGTTTGCGGTTGTCGGGTGCTTTTGTCAAAACAAAGGGTTTTATTGCCAGATATGTCCTAGCTTCCACCAACTTTCAATTGATTGGAATATGTCCATCAGCGGTCTAACAGTTGGTCATACTGTATTTAACACCAGGTTAGCCTCTCAAGTCGGTGTACAAAAGGTGTAATGTTACAGCATACAGTGCAGTCAATGGCGGTGAAAGTAATGACTTTAGCAGAAACATAACACTATTTTTAGCACGAACACGTCCCCTTCATTCAAATCCGTTCATTGGGTGAGCACCAGGACTCATTGCCCAGTTTAATCTTCTTTTAAATTAGGAGCATTACCCAGTATTATCGTGACACAAGGCAGTTATAGTTAATGGAAGTTTGCTTCAGGAAAGACCTTCCACCAGGAAAGATATCAAGTGTCTGCTGATGTCTGTGGGTTGTAGTCTTAAATCATATATATCTATCTATCTAGATCCAGATCTAGATCTCTATATAGATCCAGATCTAGATCTCTATGTAGAGATCTAGATCTAGATCTCTATGTAGAGATCCAGATCTAGATCTCTATGTAGAGATCCAGATCTAGATCTCTATGTAGAGATCCAGATCTAGATCTCTATGTAGAGATCCAGATCTATATAGATCCATCTATCTATCTCTATATAGATCCATCTATCTATCTCTATATACATCCATCCATCTATCTCTATATAGATCCATCTATCTATCTCTATATACATCCATCCATCTATTGAGATATATACAGTGGGTACGGAAAGTATTCAGACCCCTTTAAATTTTTCTCTTTGTTTCATTGCAGCCATTTGCTAAAATCAAAAAAGTTCATTTTATTTCTCATTAATGTACACTCAGCACCCCATCTTGACAGAAAAAAACAAATGTAGAAATTTCTGCAAATTTATTAAAAAAGAAAAACTGAAATATCACATGGTCATAAGTATTCAGACCCTTTGCTCAGTATTGAGTAGAAGCACCCTTTTGAGCTAGTACAGCCATGAGTCTTCTTGGGAATGATGCAACAAGTTTTTCACACTTGGATTTGGGGATCCTCTGCCATTCTTCCTTGCAGATCCTCTCCAGTTCCGTCAGGTTGGATGGTGAACGTTGGTGGACAGCCATTTTCAGGTCTCTCCAGAGATGCTCAATTGGGTTTAGGTCAGGGCTCTGGCTGGGCCAGTCAAGAATGGTCACAGAGTTGTTCCGAAGCCACTCCTTTGTTATTTTAGCTGTGTGCTTAGGGTGCTTAGGGTGTGTTTTCTCCACACATACCGCTTAGAATTAACGCCAAAAAGTTCAATCTGACCAGAGCATCTTATTTCTCATAGTCTGTGCGGGCTATGCGGGCTTTCATATGTCTTGCACTGAGGAGAGGCTTCCGTCGGGCCACTCTGCCATAAAGCCCCGACTGGTGGAGAGCTGCAGTGATAGTTGACTTTGTGGAACTTTCTCCCATCTCCCTACTGCATCTCTGGAGCTCAGCCACAGTGATCTTTGGGTTCTTCTTTACCTCTCTCACCAAGGCTCTTCTTCCACGA